CCCATCCCTCGACTGCTGTTCTCAAACTGGCCCTCCCCTTGCGTCTCTCTACTCCCCCCCCCTCCCCCCTCTTCGCCCCATCGCCTCATTCCCACCCGCCGCTGGCAGACTCGATAACTCTGGTGCCCGTCAGAACCGAGGGAAGAATTGCCTGTTATCCACCGTGAACCTGTCCGCGATGCTGACTATGTTCGTGGCCAGATAGATTATAATTTCTACGAGTCTCCAGGCCGAAGAGGCACACTGGTTGCAACAAAATATGTGAAGTGAGCATGCACCTGAACACGTTGTCCAAGTTCGTGCTCACTTGCCACCGACTTCGCGCCCTCCGTCGGTCCGTTACCGGAGACAAAATCGGTTCTTTTCAAAAAAGTGAAATTAAATTAAATAATAAGAAAAGAAAACGCAAAAATGGAGGGCCTATACTCAAGGTCAGTAATCCCTAACCACCCCCCCCCCCCCCCCCCCCCCTTCCTCCCCCCACAACAGGTAAACTCACTCACGGACCCCTTTCATTTTTCTAACCCCTTTTTTTCTGTGGTACATACAAAATCGGTTCTTTTCAAGAAAATAAATTAAATAAATAATAAAAAAAACGGAACAATGGAGGGCCTATACTCAAGGTCAGTAATCCCTAACCCCCCCCCCCCCTCCTCCCCCCAACAGGTAAACTCATGGACCCCTTTCATTTTTCTAGCCCCCTTTTTTATGTGGTACATACTCACCAGCGACGGCCGAKCTCGCAAAACCGTTCTCCCCCGAATAGAAAGGATGGCCCTTATTCTTTTTTTTTTCCTTCCTTTTTTCTTTTTTTTTTTTTCTTTTTTTTTTCTTTTTGTGGGCAGCGATGAAGCTCCTAGTGGATAGCCCTTGTTACTGTACCTTGATCGAAAATTGGCCCAAATACAGCTGTTATGACCGTGCGTTTTATTCGGGGGAAGGCAAGTAAAACAGAGGACTGGACTAAGCGCCCGGATCTGTGGACGTCTTTGTGCAAAGTTGAAGAAATGCAGAGCAATCGCGTTTTCTACACCTGTCGCCGAACGCGTCCAGATTCAGTCGTTACAACCTCGCCCCAGGTTTGAGAGTTGTTTCGAAGAGTTCTTTCTTGGGAAAATTTGTATGGCGCCCCTGTAATTTGCATTATTTTGCTTCGTGCCCCTCCGACAGACCACTTACCCTGTCGTGGCCCTGGGGCCTCTGAACTTTCGTGCATGCCCCTGTCAACAAGGGGTGCACCTTTCCGCGGCGCCCTTACTGGAATGGGGGGACGATCGGTGTAGGTTTGTCAGGTATAATTAAGGTTTTGTTCAATGAATTTATGATATTGAAGGATTAAAATAGAAACAGTTATAAAAATCAACAAGGATTATCTATATTTTTTAACCTTTACAATTTAAAAAATTAGTGATTTTCCGTTATTTACCATTTTGGTAATGGGCATGCAAATCCTCATAACCCTTATGCAATTACACATCCATGATGTTCTTCGATTCAATAGTATTAGAAATAATATATTTTTCACCCATAATTTTTTTTTTTATAAACTGTTTAAAAAAATTACCATTACATCCTTAATTTTTTTCTCTGCAACCAGTGAAATACTTGGCTGTCAACAAAAATCATGGTGTTATGAGGGGTTAAATGCAATTGAACTCCTCCCAATCGAACAATTGACAATAAATGAGAGGACAAAATGTCTCTATAAGGACTATACCTGTAGTAAATATCAGTGGATTTAAGGTTGATACATTATACGTTGACAACAGTCGCTTCTTTTATCACCCTCCTTGCTCATTTTGATATGGTCCGAAAAATATATCATACTGCTCATAACAATGTTATATACATCAGCACAAAAAATGTCACAGTAGTCTCAGCAAGTTCCGAATATGATAATTCCTCATATTGTTTTTTCCAGAAAAGCGTCATTGAAGAATTTGATAAGAAAAGTCAGTAAATGCATAAAACCGAATTACACAATGAGAAAATTGTTCGAAGTGCCGTGCATGAACCTCGCAAAACAACTTCTTTGTTTCATCAACTATTTTTTTTTTTAATGTATCAGGTCGGGGAAAATGATATTGCATACCCCTATTGAGAATAAGTTTCTTTTTACTGGTAGAAATTTACACTTGTTAGGAAAGGAGTTCAACATCTCTGTAATCTTTTGATAAGGTTTAAAATTTTAATTGAGATAAAAGTATTTGTTGAGTGCAAAGCAATGACAGTAACGCTCTCACCCCTGAAGGGGTTAGTTGTCGTCTCATTATTTATCAACCATTTAACTCATATTATATAAACGTCTTCAATCATTGTGTAGTTATTAGACTTTTTTGTTTTTACTTTTTTTCTTCTGGTACACGAATCTGTTTGTTGTTCTCAATACTTTGAGTACAATGTTATCTCATCATATTCATTATTCAAGTTTTCTACATGACTCTTATACTTTATGGCAAACGTGGTATCAATGATATTGTTGGATAATTAGAGGAACACTCTCATAATCTCCTCCATGCTGAGTTACAATTGATCCAACGATTTAATGATTCTTTTTATACCATGTTGTTGGATGACCATAGTTGCATGAATAAGCGACGACATTTCCTAATTCACCACGTAGACCTCACTTGAACAGTAGGGACAATAAAAAAGTTACAATCAATTTTTTGGTCACTGTATTCCTCCAAACATAACACATATGTGTTGTTTTCAAACTGAAGAAACAAAAAATTATATTATCAAAAGTCAATTAAAATTTATTGAATATAAAGATACCTTAACCGAATGGAAAAATACCACATCTATGTACTATTTGGATTTTTAAAGACCAACGTCGCTCTATGATAATAAAATATGAGTTTTCCTTTTTCGATTTGTCTATCAGAAAGGGACTCACCCGATAAAAAAATCCATTTTTTCTTTTGTGAAGAACAAACATGATTAGGTTATAGGTTATGATAGTGGTTCTCACACAGATATTACTAACAATAGTAGCACACAGTGTAGGAAGACAAAGTCACCGTAGTGATGGTGGTTTACACACAGATGTTACTAGTAGCACAGTGTAGGGAGATGCAATCATCGTAGTGACAGTAGACATGTGATGATAAACCAAAAGGTTAAACCACTTGCAAAACCAACAAACCTAGGAACCACCACTTCATTCATGCTAGCCGCGGACGATAGTTTACCGTCGCCACGGTCGACTATTCGCCGCGGAACCTGAGAGGACCGTTACCACTACTGTCTACGCATTTATAGTCCAAACATCAAAACTTGGGTAGAGCAGGTACCCTCCTTCGAGGTGGAATTGTCTTAACAACAAACTTTCAAACGGTATCATGGTCCGGTCCGACTGGACTGAAAAAGAAACCGGTGTCGTACTATCACTGGGTCTAACTAAGAAAAATCCAAACAACAAAGCAAATGTTATCCTTTATCACAAGGCCTTGGTTCAAATTCAAAATTAACAAAACCAAACAAAAAAACAAACAAGGCACATCCTATACTAGAAAACATACATCCCGAGATCAAAACCCTGTCCAAACAGATCGAATTTGAGAGGTCGATATCTGTACACCCGGGTTCGCAAGTCATTTTGTCCACCTTCAAATGTCACATATCATGTCCATCGTTCTTCTCCATAGCCCATCCATTCTGCTACCAAATCGTTGGAACACCCGATTCACGAATTTCTCTGGGAAGTCATTCTTCAGCAGTTCCTGTTGGAGCCCCAATGCCTTCACCCGTATCTCTGATCGCAGCGAACTATTCCGATTCAATATCGTGCAAGGGGATTCCGATGACTGCGTTTTTTTGCTTCTTACTTCCCCATGAAAAGAATGATTGACCATTCTGGATCTTCAATGGTTCATCGGACCAGATACTGGATTCGTTCCTGGACATTTTTACACTTCCTAGAAATGGGAAGTTTTGTTTCATACGAATCTCGCATCCCAGGAAATCGAACGTTCTTGTCCCGTCAACTGTCCTTTTTAATGTCAGGGTATCTGGATAGCAATTCGCAAGAGCATTAAAGATTACCGATCGCGTTGTCTCATTTTTACTGGAGATCACGAGTAGAACATCGTCAATCAATCTCAAAGCCCCAAATAGGGAGACAGTCGTCCTAGAGTACAGATTATCTGATACTAAAAAAACGCACACATGATGCATGCGATAGGAGGACTCATAC